CCCCTTCCTTTTTTGAACGGTTACCTTGATACCACTGCTAGCTTGATAGCTGACAGAAAACTCGGAGGTTATCAAGTCTCCCGATATGTCAGGTCATATTTCTCACTTTGGGGACGGTAGGCATCGTCCCCAAAGTGAGATATCTAATTGAGATACTGTGGTCTTTAGTGTCCTCTTACACAGCTAAATTACTGAATTTCTACAGTACTACTGGACCAGAGGGAGTCAAATGTCCCGCTCAACAGTGATCAAACTCTCGAAATAGCACTTTGGAAGGTTGGAGAGTTCGCATACAGCTTTTTAGGACTCCCCTAAATCAGTTCTCACAGTCAACCCTCTATAGATTTCCCGCTTGTATCTATAGTAGGCCTTGGCATTTTGTTAACGATCGTGCAGCTACCCAATATGATTGCACCTGATCGAGAGACTTGCCCGGCTATCATGAACAAAAAGACGCAGATCTACCCCTTCTTTCTTTGTATTTTATATATCAATGCCCTTTAGAACTGTCGGAAACGCATATATCGGTCAGAACGGAGGAACAGATATAAAATGGACCAGGACCGACTACCTCTTAATTTTGGCATGGTTGTGATGTCAGTTTAGTTGTTCACTTGAGCCGACCAAGATCGTTAACATTTATAAAATGACTCGACAGGTCGACCCAGCACACCACAGGTTATAACGCTCCCACAGATATGGGCCATAAGTCATTAACTCATAGCCTCATAGCGAGTATTAGCCCACGAGCATTAGCCCACGAGCATTTATGTAATCGTAATGTCGTAGTTGATACTTATAATGAAGGCAATTACGACATTTTTGATCCAACATCAAAGACGAATAGGGAGACTCAACCCCCTTTTGAATCAGTGGGAGACATCCGAGCGCGGGTGTTCTGGACAGAATCTAATTGAATGCCACTTGATGAGGTGCTCAGAATCACAAGAGCACTGCGCAGATTTTCGGATGATTTATAGATCGATAACTCATGGTCTCTCTGCGAGTAAGATATTGGACGAAGTAAGGTAAAGAATCGGGAAAACAAGGAAACTCCATTGTCCCTCATCTGCCCTAGTGGTCGACTACTGACTCAGGTTCAATTATCGAGACACGCCGCGCATGTGGAGAAATTGTCCAGATTTTTTGACTAGGGTGTGAGAGGAAAACTCTAGTGAGAGACCGTGGGCGCGCACAAGCTTCGAGCCTCATTCAAAACTTACTACACTGGAACTTAGGAAAAAAAAGACCAAGCACATATCGACTGAACTCCGATTGTTTAGTGTCGCAGGGAGCGGTGCAAGCGAACACTGGGTCAGATCAATATTACTGCGCTGGCGATATATCTCAGCCGTGGGCGATAAAGATGTCCTGTAAAGTATGTTCCTTGGTATCGTTTTACTCAAATATATTTCTTAATCACTGCTTTTAAACGGATTCCATGCAGTATTAGCTGCCATCAGGTGGGTCCTGGAGATATATAATCAAGCCCATGAAATTACCACTTGCAGTCATTGCTTGAAATTAGTTCATTTCGATGTTCAGCTCAGTGCACGTTTCGATGTTAGGGGAATTTTTAGCTAAATACCACTCCCCTATTTTCTGCCTCAGTATGACCTCTCATTTCCAGTGACAGCTACCAAATGCGACCCCCGTTTAGGACCCCCAAAGAAGACATGATCCAGCTTGAGCAGCAACAACTTGATCTTCCATTGCATAGGCTGCTCTTCTAGTCACAACTGAAGCCAGGTGTTCTAATAAATCGTCAACCTTTGACCCGCTTTCCACATGTAAGTGCGGACGCGACCGGGCACTACGTTGATTTAACACAGCACGCTGACGTCACGGAGGTCCACGTGAGCTGTCGGTGTCGCGTGTCGATCTTAAGAGAACTTTGGGACGATTTTGCCTCTTTTCTTTAGCTAGTTAGTTCATTCCTTCTCTATATTACCAGCCTCGCATCCTTTATCTGCACATTTGCTGTAAATGACAATGCTGTCTCAAACACTTTGAAATAAAGAAGGAAGAGAACATCCTCTCTGTTGCTTCGCGGAAGTATCTGTAAGTATCACATCTGTCTTTTGAGATATGCTTCTTCCTCATGAAATGACTTGCAGAAATGCAAGAAAAACGTGAACAGCTTCTCTGTATCGTAAGAGGCCCATATCCTTATTTAACACCATTCTGTTCTCTTATGATCCAAAGATATTCCAAAACTCTGTAATATCAACGGCCTGCAGACATTTCCTGCTATTTAGCAGAACGTTGTCGTAATGGACAAAGGTTCTATCTCGCGCAAAACACGGATTTCAGGGATGAACTTTAGCAACTGGAAACACCCAAGACACTCTTAATTTGCCGCTCCGTCACGCGTGGTGACAGGGTCGGCGTTTACTTAAAGGCAATTGGCACGATGATTTGGTGCTCGGCCTAAAATGCTAGTAGGGCTATATAGTGGGGAAATGGCGAAAGAACGGAGTGAAACGGTCAAAATCCTGCGAAGAAAGAGCCTCCGTTCTCAATGACTTAAATCGATTTTGGACGAGTTTCCCGTAGGCATCTTGCCAATAACGCTACTGAAGGTACGGCTGCATATGTACATATCCATGCAGCATCACGGCCGCTTCATACCAATCCCTTCGCTTCATAATTTACTTAGCAAATGAAGCAGTACGAGCGTCAGGAACGGTCGTCCATTTGTGGGCGGGCGGGCGGCGGGCGTTCGGGTCGGCATGTTGTAGCTTGATAGGGCCCTTATAAGGGCACCTTCCTCGGAAAGCTCAGAACGAATTCCGTTCTGGCGGGCGTATTAATCTTACTCGCCTGGGGCGATTTATCGTGCCAGCTGCCTTTTATTTATGCTAGCCTATGGAATAGATCTTCGAATTTCATGCAGACTACAACATCATAGACATTTATTTTTGATACTACACCTTGTTGCTTGTCATCTTCCTGGACCCACCCCGTCGCGAATCACAGTTTTTCTTCTGTCAAATGCTCCTAGCATGTGTTGGAAACCTTTTTAAGACTTTCCCACAAAGCGAGGAACTTGTTTGACAGCAACAGTTTTCACCCGTGAACTTTTCGTTAGAGTATAAAACAAGTTGGACAGTACCATATAATTACAATGAATTACACTTCTAATCAGGGTACAGCATCGTTGTGGGAAACACGTGGGGGGGGGTCGTATTTGGTCGTTGTTGGGAGAGGGAGGATCGTGCGTGCCTTTTCGAGCTTTTCCTATTTCACATTGGCTGCATACTCCCCACCTCGACAGCAAAATCCTTGGGGAAAAGGATGGACTCGGGAAATTCCGGAAAAGTGGTAGGTACGTGGGGAACGGGGTTGCTCCCCTGGTGGGGCGGGGGTCGTAACGAGCCCCTGAGAGTCGCACAAACATCCATCCATCACGATGCTGCAACCTGCTTTCAGCCAGAGACGAAGATAATGTAGTAGCAGTGACACGCTTACCACGCGCGCAGTTTAGGGACCAAATCGTTCGGGGCTCGCTCCTACCAGGCCAACTAAGCCTTCTACCATAGGAGGAGCGGGTTCGAGACAAAAGGCATGACGTTAAGAACACTGACTTGCACATCGGGTGGCCCTCGCAAATCATTGTATAGGCTATATTGCATTCAATAACCCGATTCTGAATTGAGTAGAATGCAAGCTGCATCTCCTAGAGGGACTGACCAACGGTGAAGACTATCTCTCATTAGACCTTCGATCAATCCTGAACCGAATAAGGTATTGTTCACAGTCTCCAGGCCCTGACGAAACGGCGGTTGGGAGAAAAGCAATAAATAGTCATCGATCGGAGAATCGCCCAACCGCCCAACCGTCCAACCGCCGCGGTTGGGCGGTTGGGCGAAAAGCAGTAGATGTGTATCGATTTCGCTGGCGAAAAACGCCACCGCGATGGAGCTAGCGTTTTGTCGAAGGCGAAAAACGTCGCGGTTTGGCGAAACGCCCGTCGATACGTACCAAAACCCTTTCGCCCAACCGCCAGGCTCTTCGCCCAACCGCCAGTCGATATGTATCGAAAGCTTTTCGCCGAACCGCCGCGTTTCAGAGAAACGCTGGACCGCAGAGTGTGAACAATGCCTAAAGACCGCAGAGTGTGAACAATGCCTAACGTGAATAAGGCCGCGTTCATAGCTTGTAGTGACAAAAGTAGGCAGAATTGACGGAAAGGGTTTCCGCATATGTCGTTTTCAAATCGATACGTGCCTACTGGTTTTTGTCAACTCGTCACTTTTGCATTTCGTCACTATCGCAAGCTCTAAGCACGGCTAACACCTACACAAGCAGTTCAACAAGGGGTAGAAAATATTTTAATGGAAAATATTGCAATAGAAAAATAAATGGAAAACCAATGAAAAATCACAGTGGAAACGTGCAATGGAAAATATTTCAAAATAACGTTTGGAGAGTATCTTGGAGCATGCCAAACGCGTAAATTTGTCGTCTAATATCGCATCCAAGCTAAACAAGCAGTTTTGGAGCTTCGCAAGTAATATTGTTCAAAATTGGCGCCGATTCAACTGCTCGCTGGTGGTCCCGTCACGCGATTGGCCATTCCACGTGGCCACGCCCTCGGAATGACGCGGATCGGCCATTCGCGCTGGTCTGCGTAGCGGTCGTTGGTGCTCGTCGGATTTGACTCTGAGGTAATGCTTTTTCGTAATGTGATCATTCTGCTCCTATCCTTGACCTCCTCCCGTAGTGTAGTTAAGTTACGTTCAATATTCGGGTCCTGCTGGTGCTTTCAGAATGCTGTAAGTAAGTGGCACATACGCGGTATTTCGGGCTAGCTACTCGTCTCTAGAAGTACGGCGTACTTAATAACTAATTACGTCAACAAATTTAGGTAGTCGATCTGGTAGTGATTATCATCAATTCATCATTACTATACGTACCTAGCCAGCTAAGTAAGCTAAGCTAGTTGAATCCTGTCGATTAAGAAGTAACTCTAGGAGTTCTTAAGACTGACTGACGCTATGGCTGACGAAGGACATGTAAGATTTCTTTGAGTTTTGATTTACATTGTTTTTCTCGCAGCTGGACCCTCAACGCGGTAGGTTGTAAAGGAACCGTTTAGAGCATTCTAATGACAAACCGTTTCAGAATGGAAATGCTACTGGAGAAGTTGAGCCAGAGAACTTCCGCAAGATCTTCGTTGGAGGCCTCACTGGAAATACTACGGATGAGGTCATGCGCGAGTTCTACCAACAGTTTGGAGAGTTGACTGATATCATCGTTATGCGGGATCCTAACACAAAACGGTCCAGAGGATTCGGATTCGTGACGTTCGCTTGTAAAGCAAATGTGAGTGGCCTTTAGGTAGCTTTGTAAATCGTGAGGAACGATACATTATTATCTAGGTGGATGCCGCGATGGCCGCTCGCCCACATGTTATCGATGGCAAAACAGTTGACCCAAAAAGAGCGGTGCCGAGAGATGATAAGAATCGCAACGAGTCAAATGTGTCCACGAAGCGTCTTTACGTAAGCGGTGTTCGCGAGGACCATACAGAGGAGATGTTTACCGAGTACTTCGGAAAGTACGGGAATGTTGTGAAGGTAAATAAAGACTTCAAGTTTGCGATAAGAGTTGTTGTATCCTTACGTTTAGTCGGAAATCATCCTGGACAAAGTCACCAATAAGCCGCGTGGATTCGGTTTCGTCACCTTCGATGACTACGATCCAGTGGATCAGTGCGTTCTGCTGCGTAGCCACATGATCAACGGCTTCAGATGCGACGTGAAGAAGGGTCTTTCCAAGGATGAAATGAATAAAGTAGTTAGTTTTCCGGTTTTTCCGTGTTCAGTGGAGCAGTGCATACAATTGCATTTAGGCTCAAACCAGCCGTGACCGTGTGGATCGTATGGGACGCTCCCGCGGAGATGCTCGTGGAGGTGGACCAGGAGGTTGGGGTGGAACGACTCGTGGTGGTTACGGAGCACAGGGTGGGTACGGTGAGTTCAGTTGCTCTGCTGACTGAGTTCTACCACAGTTTCACTTCCTCTCAATCTATTGATTCTCTAAAAATTACACATTCGAAGGTGCCACAGCTGCAAAACCTACAACTACAGGTTATGGTGGACCTCCAGGAGGAGGGTATGGCCAGCAAAGTTATGGAGGATATGGTCAACAAGGATGGGGAGATCAAGCCGGAGCTGGATGGGGACAGCAGGCAGGTGGTGGCTGGGGAGGACAAAGTGGTGGCTGGGGCCAAGCAGCCGGAGGATGGACTGGCCAGCCATCTGGTCAACAGCAATGGGCAAATGCTCAAGGCGGTGGCAGATACTAATTAGATCTCTATTTGTCGCGTTTCTTCTTTATGTGTTGTCTCCCACGAAGTGTTTTCTGATCTGCTCGTTGTTGTCATTCTAACTCACTGTATTAAATGCTGATGTTTCCAACAGGAAGGTGTTTGCTTAATCTGAATGTATAGTTGGAATAAATTATTCCGTTGTTCCTCTCCTATCTCAACTTTTTGAGGCGTGGCCTCATTTTATCTGGCACAATGAGACGTGTTTGTGTTCTGAAATGTGTTGAAGCGGTTATTAATCTAATAAATTGTGAAGAATAATTCTTTGTTATGTTGGGGATCAAAAAAGAAAGCGAACGGAATATCCAAGAAGAGGGTTATAGAAAAGTGGAAAAGTATGGCAGGTGTTGCTGGTGGGTTGTAGTTCGCTCTTTTAGGTGTGTTATGACTGAAGCGTTTGGTTTGGTGGCTGCGGGGCGAGCGGTAAGTGCCTAGAAGGCTGAAAAAATGCTAAGAGTACGAGTGCAGCAGTTTGGTGTTCAGCCTTCACAATTCATACAAGCGGGTGAAAGAGAATTCCTGTGTGAGATAGAAGAGGCGTCGAATGTCAACCACGTGGTGGTCTTCATCACCGGTGTGCACCCTTTTCCAGATGGATTGGGAGGTTCAGGTGCGAGGGTTCATCGCAATTACCTTCTAATATCACGTTATCTGAACGTTTGTAGTGTATGTTCGGTGGCCATCACCTGGCGGCCAGGATGCTGGTTGGCACTACCTTGGTTTCATATGTAACATGAAGCCTAGCGTCATTTTCAAAATCGCTCAGGTAGGCTTGTCCTCCTATACATATTTGATACTGATATTTTTTTCAAACATTCCAAAGAAATTCGCAATAGAGGGCAAATGACTGAGAAGTCTTGAGATGATTACTAGTGCACACTTGGGCGCAGTTCGGCTTGTTGTGGACATCAAATGGTACTCAGATAAGCTTGTACAGGCGCGTTGTGAAGAATTATGAACTCCATTGACCAAAGTAGCTCACTCGAACAATTTCACAACTTCTCAGGGGTTTACAAGTCTTAGCAATGGGAGACCTGTTACTGAACATGACCAAACAAGTAACAAAGGGAACTAAAGGTGCAGAATGCCCCCCCCCCTCAAAGCTGAAAGGCGCCCACATTCACTCCTCTTACGTAGATGACTTCAGGAATACATTTTTCAGAGCAAATCAAACTGTGTAATAATTTCCAACTTTTTATGTCATGGGTAAGGTATTCGCGAAAAGGGTTCGACTTGTCGAATGTTGTTGCTAGATGTAATTGATCAAAGCACTTTTCATAAAATAATTTTTTCCTTATTCTTTGCTAGCGGTTACGTCACTCATGTATTTCGAAGGTTTCATGAGGCCTCGCTTCTCTGTTCTGTCTGGAGACCAAGGTTCAGGCTCAGCGCGTAGATGACTCGAGTTCAATGGAGTTTTTGAAACGGATAAGCGACAACAATTGGTGGGAAACCACTTATACGAAAGCCACCAGACAGTAGTGTCGCTCGCTCGCTTCAACTGGTGCAAAAGGAGTCTGACGACTCGCCAAACACCTCCTGACACGCCCCGTCATTCTCAGCGAACAAGACCGTAGTCCGACCGCAGAGAACAAATAGTTTCCACATATTTAATTCTATACTTTGATCTGTTGAACGGACACGGGCGCCGCTGAGTGGCACTCCCTCCTTAGTCTTACAGCTGTTTCGACGCATCCAGATTTCTATGATGTTCGCAACGACAACATATTATTCAAAGATCGATCGAATGTTTTGAGGGTACATCGGCATTTTGAGCGTTTTCACGGACATTTTTGAGCTTTGGAGGGGCAGTCGGCGAAACACTGGCGTGCGTCCAAAATGCTCTATCGATATCTGTACTTCCATTGTCCCTCAAAACGCTGCTGTGCGCTGGCATACGCCGCTGTACGATGAGATTGAAGCAAAGTATGGACACAGGCGTACTCATTTTTTTGTGGCCCTCAGAGGAACTATCGAACTTACATGTCACTTTTCGAAACCTCTTTTTTTATAGCTCCACTTGTCTGAAGTTCGCCATACGGGTGTATTTAGTGGAGGTATGAGTGCTGGAGCATCAGGATCAGTACAGATAGGCATAATGGTGGAGCCACTTTCTGCTATCGAAGGACGAGAAGCTGCTGAAGGAACTCAAACCAGTCAGCAGGTATTCCAGATTGGTTTAGTAAGCTTTCCCAGCATTTGTTCATGTTACAGTCAACACTGAGCGAATTCGCGGAAACTTTACTGCGCAACTTGGTGAATCATGCTGAGTCCTACACAACACGATTGCCTAGACCGGATGGACAAGGTACTGTAGCTGGACAAGAAGTGGTTCTAATGCTTTTTTCTAACACGCTAATAAAAATCGCGTTGACGGCAACTATTACAGATGTCTGCATGGGAGCTAATGTTTCTGTTTCAGGATTTGCTGACTACATCCCGGTTTCGGCGCTACAAGAATGGTACAACAACTTTCAGCGGCGATTCCAGCAGAATCCATATTTCTGGAGATCTCTTCGTAATGTGTAGGGTGTATCTCCTTGTCTTTCAAACATATTTGTGATCAACATGATATCGTGTCTGCCAAGTCAAGCCTGTTTGTATAAGAAAATATTGCTTTGGTGGCTTTGTAACCTGTGATTGATATGAAACGTCTTTAAGTATGGTTCCATTGTGGAGCAAGAAACTATCGATTCGCTATTGATTTGTGTGGCACTTGGCTATTACTGAGCGCGCCGGCTGCTTGTTGGACACATCGATTGTAACTGCTGGAGACGTGTCGGGCACTTGGGATTATAGCAGCTGGGAAGGAACAGCCGAACAGCTCAGATTATCCTCCGCTGCATAGTAAATATTCAGTGGGGCAGTGAATCGCAACTTTCCGTACGATTGAGGTAATGAAGTAGTGCGGTGTTATGGACTGTGTTTTGCCTCGCAACGAAATCATAAAATTCTCTTTGAACCCTTGCAACGCTTGTGATACTACTCACTATATTTGTTCTAGAGGCGGTGGGATGATATGGATTGCATCGGTATTAGAGCGCACAATCCATAGCAGGGCACATCATTGGTTGGGGATTTTGGTCGGGTCCGTGGACTCCACCCTTTTTTTGAAGGTTGGTACGACCTTCCCTCCTCTCCGGCACTCTCTCCCTCCTCATCGAGCTGTCGAGCAGGGGGGGGGGAGGGCTAGCGCATGTGAGACGAGGAAAGCCTCGTGAAAAATACGACGACACTTTTCCAAAGTTTGCCGAAAATTCCCTACTTTCAGCTAAAACATTTTAGTCAGCAGGAGAGTGGTATATAGTACACATGAAACAGGAAAATCACGAAAAGTCAACCACCTCTCCCAGAAGGCGAGAAGTAAGCGGAAAGTAAATGCGGCCCCCCACACTTCCCAGCAACAACAGTAGTACGACCCCCCCCCTTACAACGTCCGTGAAGCGAGAAAAATCAACTATCAAAATAAATTTTCCCAGCCCAAATACGACCCTCCTTTCCCAGGCGACCAAATACGACTCCCCTGTGGGGATTCCCCAACAACGATGTGCCCTGATCTATAGTCCCCATCCTCCACCTCGCACTTGCACCGCGTCTCCCACTCCGGATAACTCGTCCACAACCCTCAACTTCTCAAGCACTGGGTTGCGGTATGTAGTTACAGTGCGGTGTATAGGCGGAATTTTTTACTTGATGGTGTTTAGTGTGAGACCATGTGTTCTTGCTGACAATACTGACAATAATGAAGAATATCTATTAATCTGGACGTATCCCTAAGTTTCGGCGGAGTCACGCCTGGCATAATAATCTGTTCGCGTCATAATCACATTGCCAGGGCTCTTAATCACATTCAAATCATGTCATTAATATGTTCAAATGTCACATATACTATCTGAGAGGGTTCTGGAGGCATTCTAGAACAGAAAAATGTGTAGCTAGTATGTAATTGTAGTGATAGGTTTATTCTAGGCGGAGTGGCCTTGTAGCTGGATTGTGGGATTCAGGAAAGGTCACGCTTTGAGTATATGATGGAGTACCTACGGGTTATAATTACATGTCACAATAGTATCCATAAGTTCTATGTATCAATTAGGTGTTAAAATAAAATTATAAAATAATTAAAAAATAATAAATAAAATAATTAAAATATGTTATAATAAAATTATTACTTGTTAAAGGATGCACAGGCAGGTTCTGGTTGCAATCCAGAACACGCAGTACTATCTAAATAACCCTACAAGTCTGTAAGTCTGTATGTCGAAAAGGGAGCAACATCAGTGATTATGCCTGGTTAGCGCGCAGGAGAACCATTTTTCCGACATTGATCGTTAAAAATGTCTCGAAGGCAGACTTCGAAAGCAGCCAGAGGAAAGTTCGCAGGTAGAAGGGTTGGATCAGAAGTGTACTCGCTAGTCGATTCGCTTGTGAAGAAAAGGAAGATAAAATGGTCGAAATGCTCAAACTAGCTCTACTTGTGCCAAGCGAGAGGCATTGAGTCGATATGGATAGCGTATGAGGGGCCAGACAAAACAGCGAGAGTGCATGCAAACGAGCATGATAGCTGACAAGACGTCTATCAACTAGCATGGAAACATTTGAGCAACCTTGTGCATTACCGTAGTTAGTTTACCCTAACGTGAAATTTACTTAGGGTTGCTCGTTGCAGTTCACATTACCTCTCCCACGAAGCAGTTAGGTACTTCAGGTGATCGCGGGCTCTGCCTTTGAATATGCTTCAGCTAAATAAAAAAGGTCTATGAAATTCGGATATGTGACAAGACAATATCGATTGGCCGCACTGGTGGGCGTGGCGTGCGACGTCGCGCCCGCAAATGACGATGTTTCTAGGCGTAGATGGCGATATTAAACAATTCGTAAACAAAAAAAGTCGTAAATGTCTACTGTGTCGAAATTGTCGTAACAAGATCATAAGTCCAGGTTGTTAGGTTGCGTACAAAACCCGCGAAAATTTCGCGTGAAGTTAAAAACGTTGCGTTGTCAGTGCACACAATCGGGCGCACCGTACGGTTTAGCTAGCTCCGGGGTGGGGCAGCGACTCGCCCGACCCTTGCGCCCACCGGCCCCGGGGCTAGATTACAGTACTCTACGCCAAAATCAAATGGTCCAGGTAGTCTAAAGTCCCGTTATTGCAATCACGGCCTAATCTTACGCGCAATTTGGGGTACTGTGCCAGCCTGAAAACGTGAACCTACTGTTGAATCTCCCATGGAATCCTGCAGTCGCTATCAATAGTCCCTGCTTTTGTCAGTACTGAAAAGCATAGTTTTGTAATGCAATGATTCCACAACTTAACAACTTGGAATTCGAAAGTGCAGACAAGTTGTCGGGAGAAGAGAAAGCAGTGCAAACAAGGTGCAGGCAGCAATTAATCGCTAATTAATTTGGTACTAACGCTAGCCGCATTAGCCGAAATACACCGTATTCCTTACTATCAATGTTGTGATTCAACAGATTCTGATGACTGGAGAACATCATGAATTTCACACTCTGGATTGTTAGAGCACCTCAGTAACCCTGGACACATGACTGTAGTGACGTACACCTGAGTCGGACCACTCGCACTTCTCTAACATTCAGTTAGTTAAATATGTTGTGTTATATCAAACTGCTTGTTCCTACAATACAATACAGTGCAATCAGGAAAATCTTCGCTGAGTGCCAACAGCCAGTGTGGTGCAGGCTTTTCACCCGCTCCAAAACGAATCCCGCAAAGTTCTTTGAAGAGCGTTTGAGAATCGTATTACAGACAGTGTATGGACGAATTTTCTTTGTGTAAATGTGGGTACATTCGACCCATGAGAGCTGTAATGACGTGAACCGCGGGATGGATGGAGTCTATGGAGTTGAGCGGTTTTTTTTCCTCGGATACTCCCTTCTCACTCAGAAAGACATTTCTAGACGAAGAACTGGTAGAGATCGGGTGTCATGGGGGGGGGGATTATCGGTGCAGGCCTAGAGACTACGTCCATTCCCTTCGCAGTGGTGATACTTTCAGCTGTCGATTAACGGTTAGGGCACGGACGATGAAGCGAGAATATCTGTGATGATGACTATAGCGTTATCCTCGAGAAAGTATGGGCGATGGGTGGCGGCATGGCTTTGAGTGCAGCCTGAGGAGATTTTTTTACCAATTGTAGCGGACTCAGTATGGCAGCGTTCAGACTTCGCGACGGCAGCGCTTCGGTCGCGCGTTCGACGCGATCGATGCAGTCGAAAGCATGCGCATCGATCGCGCCGAACGCGCGACCGAAGCGCTGCCGTCGCGAAGTCTGAACGCTGCCTATGACATCATTATTGGAACAAGGGGTCGCCCTGGCTGCGCTTCCAGCCGCGCCACTTGAAACGCCCAGTCGTTTGTGTGGATCACCACTGCACATTATGATGATACTCCCAAGAGCGCGTTCAGACTTCGCGATCGCGCGATCCGATCGCGCTACTGGGATGGGTGAAATTCACACCGGGAGGGCGGGTTTGTTCATGTTTATTGTGTTTATTTAAAAGAGAACAGGAACAATAAACATGAACAAACATGACCCCCCCCCGGTGTGAATTTCACCCATCCCAGTAGCGCGATCGGATCGCGCGATCCGAGCGATCTGAAGTCTGAACGCGCTCTTATGTAGATGGGTGAGTCAACCTAGAGCAGCAGTAATTCTATTCAGATGACAATGATTCTAGTTTGAACAAGCGGTCCTCTCATGGAAAATGCTCCGAGGTTATTAGAGCTCTGCATGTGCTTGATCAGATACTCAAAGCTGAGCTGGCCTGAATACTCGATCCGGGACCACCCGTCGTCGATCTAGGACGATCAGCCAAGCCAGGCCACCTCGCCTCACATTAAACCTTTAACACCAACTAGTATGTAGACGTTTCTTGTACTGGGTTTTCACAGGCGCATTGTTTCAAAGGCTCTTCAATAGTCAGGAGGAAGGTCTATCTCCGGACAGCATTCCATCACTTTCACCGTCCAATAAGTGCGAGACACAGTGGTTTCATTTCAATTGTTCTACCGCAGTCCAGCCGCGGACCACCTAGCTGATGCCGGTAATGCAGTACACAGACATTTCGAACGGAAAACATACAAAACCTGGAAGGAATGTCATCGAATTTCTCCGATTCCGCCAAAATTACATCAAATAAGACTTGACTCAAATCCTATCAAAACAGCCAATAATAGAGGAATACGACGAGAACCTCACCTGTATCACCTGTGCTCCCGTTGATCATCGAGTTCCTCGAGCGGGCGCCAGTAACGTCTCCATTCGTCCCTGCAACGTGCAAGAGTTGCCCAATGGACTCTCTCTGCTCGAGGGACACGATGAACTTCATACCATTCGTTCAGAGCTTTCACGAAGAAGTCTGACCATCGCATAGGCGGTCGTCCAGGCGTTCGCTTGACATCCCGTGGAATCCAGTCGGTGATCGCTCTGGTCCAGCGGTCGTCCTCGAAACGCATGACGTGCCCGGCCCACCTGATCTTCGAAACCTTGGCAAATGCGGCGGCGTCT